TCAGGGGCAGGTGGGAATCGAACTCATGCGGAAGTGGCCTTAGCCTCTCAGTGCTGTGCTCTAACCCACTGCGCCACCAGGGAGGGCCTGCTTTTGTTTTTTAAAGAGTAAACTGGCCATTCCTGGTTGCACAGCAGGTTAAAGAGCACAATGTGAAGTTAGCCCTGGCTGCCTTGGTGCAAGTTCGATTCCTGCCCTGGAGATGATCCACATGGCGTGGCAGACCTCTCCTGACCCACCCGCTGCTCCCCTCAGCAGTGTACTTCGTTGATCTGCCTGTTCTGCTCCCCACTCTGACTCTGGTGAACCCTCTCCCCACCCCTACACCTCTGACATGTACTCCAGTTCTGTATGCATAAATAAATAAATCTTAAAAAAAAAAGTAAACTTATTCCATAGTGTGTTTGATGTTTGATCTTATTCTCACCTCTAATTGTATATATTTTGCTGTTTATGGCTCCTCTTTTTTTATTTTAAAAGGACAGGGTTGTTAAGACAAAGAGTAAAGAAAAGATGAAATTGGGTGAGCAGAAAGCTATCTCTTCTATTTTTTTGCTCAATGGATTACTTTTACTGTGTGTGTAATGTTCCTTTTTTCCTAACAAGTTAAGTTTATAATGTTTTCCATTTTTCTAGTGATTATAAAGTGTACATCCTCTGCTGGCACCTCTTAAAAAAAATCAACCTGATAATGAGATAGAAAAAGGCACAAAATGATGTAAAATAAAACATATTATTAAAAAAATAAATTCAACCTGATGATAGCTATTTATTTCCAGCGCTGAATGAGGAACAAATGAACAGGTTCATACTTCTGCCTATGACAGTAAGTCTAATTTGCTGGTTTTTAAAATGTACTTTCTGCTTATTTTATGAGAGTGTCAAAAGCCTGTGGTCTCCTTACCTCAGAAACTCTCATCAGCATGTACACTGTCCCCTTTTGTATTTTAAAAGAGAGAACATGTGTGTGTGTGTGTTTCTAGAGATTAGAGCATTCCAGTCAATTTCTAGTCAATAGAGTAATAAAGAATTCCTTAATTGTAGTTCAACCCCAAATGATAAGGAGTTTTACTAACCAACTGACACCTCAGTTAATCCCTGAATATTAACCTACATAGTTATACAAGTCATTTTACCAGTGTTGCATTTAATACAAAAGGAAATAAAGAGAGATGGATACACACATTGCAGCTAAGATCCTCTGTCTGAACACTAGGAGAATCATGGATTGGAGAATTTTGGGAGGGTAGGCTGGAAATGAAGGATGTCCTTTTCAATTGGAATTCTTTGAATCTATTGAAAAATATATGTGCTGGAAGAGCAGAATGATATTGTCAGTCCATACATGGCCCTGGCAGTTGTTACATTATCAGAATACTTTGGTTCAGCACAGATTTGATGCTCCAACTCCCATATGTCCTGAGCGTTCTGCACTGTTCTGCCCTCTCTTCTGGAAACCCTGTGGTCTGACCACACCTGGACAGTGAAGCAATTGATGTCCTTTAGCTTGGGAGGTTCAGGGGACCTGAGCTATTGTTATAGCTTTCTATTCTGTTTAGTTGTTCCTGTACTAATTATAAAATTTAATATAAACCCTGGAATGAGCATAGCCCAAATCTGTAGAGACCTATGAATCTGTCTCTGTCTACACACACACACACACACATATTTATACATACAGATGCATACATACAATCCATTTATCTTTCAATATGTCACATATAAATATATATTTAGATTTCAATGTAGTTAAACATATATATGCATATATATATATCAATTGCATGCATATATGTGTGTATGCAAGCTTCAAATTCACTTCTTATACAAGGATTACACAGAAGCACTCACATATACACATATGTAATACTGAAGTATGAACACTGATTTACAAGGAAAGTTATTACCTGCCCCAATTAGTATTAACATACAATCAAGTATTTGAGGCTCTTATTTGAAAAAGCATAACTTGAAAGACTGACTCCATGAACAGGTTTCTAAATACAACATCCTTAGATCTGGCATTCTTATCAGATCTTAGATTCTTATCAGGTATAAAGATTTGTCCAAAGTTACAGATGTTTGAGAACAAGACTGTGACCAGGAACTGAAAGGGTAAACCAACACAGAGAACTCACAGACTTAGATGAGAGAATAGAAACACCAAATCAATTCAAAAAGAAGAAAAAAGAAAAGGAAAACAAAGGATTTATGGGGGGAAATCTCCAAAATCTCTACTGTGGCTTTCTGATTTAAGGATCAGTTTCGCTCAAGTTCCTGTCGAGAGATAAATACTTGGGATGAGAATCATCTGAAAGGGTGGTGATCTGCAAAACTCTAGCAAGAAATAATCATTAAATATAAGCATTCAAGGAAAGAAGTATAATTAATATGTACCAAATTAATATGTAGAAAAGTATGTGACATACATCCTCCTTGATAATTTAGTTCAAGTTTTAGAAGAAGGCTCCTTAGAATGCATACATCAGTAAAAACACTTTCATCGATTGCAAATTTTCCTTTATTAAAGAGACTACATTGCATATACGAATTGAAATACCCTTGTCATTAATTAATCTGTTCTGATGGTTTTTAAACCTTTAATTTCTTCTGTTCTTTACTTGTATTATGGGAAGTATTACTATATGCAAGCATATATAAACATCATAAAATGTTTGCATCATAAAAGACAGAAAACGGTATTAAGCCAAACTAACAAAGAGATAAGCAAAATAAAGAATGTACAAGTCCCAACCCTAATTAGGAATAGAAACCAGCCTAATGTGACCCAATATTAAAAATCACCATAATTTAGAAAAGATGGCAGATCATTTATTAGTTTTAAGTTCTAAAAATATCTTGAGACTAACATTATTGGAGCTATTTATTCAGCTACTTGGTAGAAATCACTCATCATCTCTCTGTTGATCCATAAACCTCAGACAAAATAACAAGTAATGTTTATAAATATAAACAGACAAACCCATTCTTTGTGAATGTCTCTATTTTTTTCTAAATTAAAGGCAGGGTTGGATAAGGAGAAAGGTCTTGAAAAGAAGACATGCACAATTAGGGTAAAAATACTAACATACATTGCAGGGGGAAAAAGCACAAAGAAGACTTTTTGCATTAAATATGCCTTTTTGCATTATTCAGACATTGCAATATCCCCTTAAAAGTAAATGTAAGACTGTGAAGCAATGAAGAACAGCTCAAATTTTACAAAGAAATATATATCACTTTGGAGTCAAGTAAATTAACTGTCCTTCACTCAATAAACACAAATCAGATTTTCTTAGATTATTCTTTTCCTGCCTTTTGCCAAGAGCTGCAACTTCTTTAAAATTTGAGATCAACTTGTCAGTTTGATGACAGATTTTCCTACTCTTAAGTTTCTAGGAAAGGTAGGGCAGCATTAATTTCTCTACCACATGGCCTGTTCTCTTAATATTTCAAATTTTCACTGCCCAGGGGGGAAAATGGATACCTAGGAGGAGGGTAGAGAATTCTGGCCCAGCTTTTGAGTGACACAGACAATGAAACATCATACTTGATGAGCATGATTAAAAATCTAATACTGCATAAACTGATGCAATTAGGAACAACAGTTTTTCAGTGATGTTAAGTCTTTGTTAAGATTTCTAGGTCTCCCTAAGAGCACTTAGATGATTGCTAAAGCACAAACATGGCAGTGGCAACTACAGAAAAAAGTAAATGCCACAGAAAGGATTATTTTTTTTTAATTACCTCACCCATCAGTTTGCTATAAGAGGCATATGGTAAAACTGAAAGGAAAGGTCACAGGCTGCTTTAGATGCATAAAGTGAAAACTGAGAGAAAGTCGTCAAAAATGTAGTTCTTATTCATTATAGTCATTTAATTTAGGAAATATCTACAAGGCAAATGAACCTTCTGAGTCCATGACAGATGGATTTTTGTCAGCTTAATCCTAGAATGACTCAGGGTCAGAGAAATAAGGTGATCACAAGTCATTAAGAGTATACCGACTTCCATATCCTTGAAGAGAGTGGAAATTGCCTAGAATTTTGATTCATTATATTATACACCAGTGTATGTGGGTTTTGTGTGTCCTTGCAAGTTGAGTTACTTCCCCAGACTCCCTAGAGGCAAGGATGATTTCTTGTTCATTTAAGATGCAAGTGTACAGTGATGTTTGTTAAATGATTAATTTTCTAACCTCCTTCACACTCCCCGATTGCTCTTGAAGCAATAATCCTCACATGGTATCTAACTTTACTAATTATTTCTATGTCTCTAGCTTTTAATCTGTCCAAGCCTCAGTGCTGTAATCTGCACACTTGGGATGATAAGTTTGTATATACGTAAAATCTGGAAGAGATGAACCAATGAAAATAGGTAACTTTTCAAACAAAATACATATCATTTACAATGGACAAGTAAAGAGTCAGTAAAGGCAAGAAGAAATGAGGAAAATATGCCTATAAACGGGAACTTTCTACTTTCTCAATTCTTATTCTGTATTTCCTGGTATGTAGTATATAAGCTTTGAAATATTTACCACATCCATCAATTTCGAATGAAAAAAATAGCTTTTGATAATACATGAGACCCCTAAGTGAAATATAATATACTCTATTCAAGAAATTGCAGAGAAATTTCGAAGTAAATGACTTCTGTAGTTTTAAAGGTTCTCTAATCCAACCTTGCCTCCACCCCTCACCTTCATCATTTATCTCATTTCCTTTTGGTCTAATTAATCAAAATCCTCCCTAGAATGTTCATTTCTGGTCAGTATGTCTTCCTGAATATGAATAAGAAATAAAATACCATTTGATGTTTGAAATTATGGGGGTAATCTCAATGACGGAAATGGATGACTGGTGAAAGGGAATGGAATGCCTGATTAAATATATTCATGAAGATGTCAAAGCCTTATAAAGCCAATATCTGGGGAAGGGGAAATTGTAGGGCTACCAGGTCTTCTCTGGTAAGGTGTGTTTCTTGAAATCACCATCAACATGGACAACAAAGTTTCATCAATGAAAGGTATGTGCAAAAATTAACTGGGTTGTTCACTTTATCAACATGCCAGTGGGAGCATAACTTGAAATTTTAACTAACAGTCTTACAGCAGTAGGTACACAGAATTTAAAAAGCTAATCTGATCTTTGTTGGAGAAACCAACTCTACAAGGTCCTTTTAAAACAGTGTTGTTCTCAGTTGGTGGGATCCCTTTCTTCCAAAGACATTTGGTTAATGACTGGCGATGTTTGGGATAGTCTGAACAAGAGGGAGGGATGTGTTACTGGCATCAAGTAGGTTGAGATCACAGATCCTGAAAATCAGGCTACAATGCAAAGGAAAGTCCCCAGAATAAGGAATGGGGCCAACTTTGAGAAACCTTAGGGTACAGCAAGACTGTAAGTAACTATGGATCCAATCTATCACAACTCTGAAAGGCAGGAAGTAACATTTTCTGCTTCTCAGGCCTTCTGTGGTTTGACCAAAGTGAGTCAGCCTGATGAATCTTTCAGCTCTGGAGCCATAATATAGACAGTGACAGTAGGATTGTCTCATAATATTTGTCGACTGGGTTGATGCCAAATAACATTTTAAAAGGAAAAACAGACTGATAACAACTAATCGCCTCTAATTTCTTGGCAGACATTTGGAGATAAAGAAATTAGGGCAAGCATAAAATTAATTTTAATAAATAATGAACAAAAACATCTATTTTATTTCACTTTCAGGTGATAAATATACCTAGGCTTGAACAATATATACCCCATTATGGATTTCCTTGAACCATTATTCTACTGTCTCCATGTGCAAATCAAATTTTATTTACATGTGTAGAGAAAGAAATATCCATTATATGACCATAATGAACCTAGAAAAAACTTTCCTGAAACATAATGCTTTTGATAACTAAAAGTTTGCTAGTTGCATCATCTCACCATATTTTTACTTTTTTGTTTTGTAGCTAAAAGGTCTTTTACATTCTTCACTAAATAATGTTTCTAGATATTTAGGGTTTGATTTTTTTTTTGCACGTAAATCTTTTGCACTTGCCTACTTCTGACTTGGACATTTCCACTAGAAAATTAGTTTTCTGATAAGCACATTTTTTAATCAGATATTCTTTGGAACAGTTTCTTTGAGGTTGAAAGTGATTTTAAAATGTTTCTTTTCCTTTGAAAGAATAAGTTATTGATATACTAGAAGTCACTCCTATCTGCCCATCTGCTGAGATAATGAATTGGTGACTAAATCTAGATCCTTGCCAAAGATTCTAAGAGTATTTTAGAGCTAGAGCGAAAATAAAGTGGGTCAAATCAGCTTCCTGGGGTGACTGTTATGATACAATCAAAAAGAAAGTTTTACTCTTTATAAACTGTAGTAGTAACCTCTGTAAGCACTGAGCAATTATGCTTTCTGAAGGATACAGCCCCCCAACCCAGACTGAGCGCCCAAAGGTATGCCTGATCAGCAGAACCAAGTGACAAGATGACAGGCCACCTGCTAGCAACGGGTAGCAGGGAAAATCACCTAAACTCTAAGCCATCTGTTTCCCTAATATCATTTCATAACAGTGAAGGCCGAGATTATCTCATTGGGTCACTGTGAAACACAAAATTTTTAAAAACTGTAAAGTTTTTGGCAGAGTTTCAAACAAATGCATGGGGTTATTAAGGTAAGTTAAGAGGCCTCAGAGACAGCATGCTTTTATGTTAGAATTCTTTCCATACTCAACATAATCAAACAATTGCCTGTTTGTGCAGACCAGGTCTGAAGTAGAACAAACATCATCTTTGCTATTCTTGCATTTCAGCGTCTAAGATGCAAGTATTAGTCAACTCATAGTTAAAAATTACAAACTCCTCTAGGGCTTGGCTGCTGAAAATCTGCGGTATCTCCCAAGACATTAAGCTATCTTAAGAGAATGACCCACACACCCTGACTCAGAATTAATTTAAGCTCCAAATGTTTGCAAAGTACAGAAGCACTTCTGGGAGCAATACACAAATGCAGAAAGTAACCTACTTCTCCAACTATATATCTGTGCAAATATAATTATATATCTAAATTTACACAGTGGAAGCTGTTGTTTCTTCCCCAGCCCAGCTATTATAGCACCAAATCGTGCTGCGGGCCGTGGGGAGTGATAAAGCTTCCCTGGACAGGATTACTTTGGATAACCTCTGTTGAACACATCAGCTCAGTGACTCGTGTGTCTATTTCTGCAGGGTCATGCCTGCTTCTGCTGCTGCTGCTGTCGAACCTGCTTCTGTGCAAGCATGTGTCCTCCCTGCCCATGTGTCCCAGTGGGGCTGCCAACTGCCAGGTGTCTCTGAGAGAACTGTTTGACCGTGCTGTCATCCTGTCTCACTACATCCATAACCTCTCCTCTGAAATGTTCAATGAATTTGTAAGTGCCACACTTCTTGTTTCTCTCAGAAGGAGCCTTCCCGTGATGGACTGGGCTTTGCCACACTTTAAACTATGAAGCTGTACAAGTCAGACTTCACACAATAGGACTTGCTAGGTGAAACAGGGCATCAGCGGACCAAGGAGAAAGGGACAGTTTCCTAGATTCTTGAAAAGTGCACTAATTGTTTTAATTCCCTACTACTTGTTTTAATGTTGCATTCCCTAGGAATTTTAAGCAACTATACTAGTCAACGTGGGAGGCTACAACAGAATATTACAGGCTGAGTAACTTGAGTGACAGAAATTTATGTCCTCGCAGTTCAGAAGGCTGTATGTCCAAGGTTAGAATGCCATCAAGGTCAAGTTCTGGTGAGGTGTCCTCTGCTGAGCTTGTTTTCTGTTTCCTCCTGTGGCAAGTAATGGAGAAATGGAGAGAGAGAAAAAGAGAGGGAAGGAGTGATAAAGATAGAGAATGAGGGAGAGATAAAGGAGAAGAGGGAGAGCACTCTGGTTCTTTACAAGGGCAGCAATCTTATGGAATCACAACTGGATTCTTATGGCATATTCTAACTTTGTTAACTCCATAAAAGCAATTTTTTCCAAATACAATACAGTGGGGATAGGGCATCAACATATGAATTTGGGGAAGCAAATGTTCAACCCATGACAACACTTAACATCAAACACTTTGAGATGGAGCTGAGGAAAAGGAGGCGTGTTCATTCTCACCCTTGCCTGTAGGGTTCCTCTCTCTGGGCACTTTTCACCTAGCACACTGCTGATGTCCAAGAAGTTAAGAGATGCTTGGCAGTAGATTGCAAAGTAGAACAAAGCTAAAGTAAAGCTGAATCCTTGTCATGAAATAGTTTTTTATAAGATTAGTTTTCTGTCATCAAAAATGAGGCAAATTATCATTTTAAGATTCCCAGTGTATACATCTAGATACTATGGAGCACTTGCTTTAGAACTGGAAACAGTTATTCTTACTCTCGATGCTGTATTTTAATCCAGGAACAGACAACAGATTGGAACTAAGGAAATCAAAGGATCTTCATGAGAGTTACACCTCAGTGTTTGGAATAGATACATAGAGAGAGAGTTCTTATCTTTCTCTAGTTTTTCTTTCATTTTCCTTTTTTTTCCCCCTGATTTAGCAGATAGTAGTCAAAGAACATTTAGAAATTTATAGTTGCTCTTAATAAAGCAAATGGGCTTGGATCATAGTAAATAAGAGATGAACTGTTAACTAGAGATATATATACTTTAAATCCTAAAGAAAAAAAAATAATACTTAAATATGTAATAAGTTATTAGTGTTTCATATTTAGGATACTTTTCTTGTTTGCTTTCTAAACATTAACTCAAATAAATCAAATAAAGTAATCAAGTAAAATCAAATAAAGGAATCACAAAGATGGGAAGGAGATGGGCTATTAAAAAGGTCAATGAAATAGATACATGCATAGATATACTGGAAGAAAATATAAGGAAAAGAGTGACTTTCTTATAGTTTTGCTTAGCTGTCATTTTAAAAAGTACAGGCATTGGGCCCTGCCTGGTGGTGCAGAGGGTTAAAGCACAGCATTAAGAAGCTAAAGTCACCTCAGCAGGAGTTCGATCTCACCCTGGAGGTGATATATGTGGCATGGCAGACCTCTCCTGACCTACCCACTGCTTCCCTCAGCAGCAGTACCTCGTTGATCCACCTATTTTGCTCCCCACTCTGTCTCTGGTGAAGCCTCTCACCACCTCTGTGCCTCTTGCCTGTACCCCAGTTCTGTATGCATAAATAAATAAATCTTTTAAAAAAATACAGGCATCAACTGTCTTTATATTCTGGTAATAGGTACATTTAATCAATGTCTAACTGAATTTGCTTGATCACTTCCAGGATAAACGGTATGCACAGGGCCGAGGGTTCATTACCAAGACCATCAAGAGTTGCCACACTTCTTCGCTCTCAACTCCTGAAGACAAGGAACAAGCTCAGCAGATTCGCGTAAGTCTTTCAGTCTTATTTTTTACTGACATTCAGGTATTTCCCTGATAGTACCAAGCTGCAGATAATAAGAGGTAATGACTAGGTAACAGTGATTGCACATGCAGAGATAAGTAAAGAAAGAGTGAGCAATCCAAGAGAAATTGCTGATAAATTTTCAGGAAAGATTGTAGCAGTAAAATAAACAGCAGATCTATAATTGTCCATGTAGGCATAATTTTCTTTTTCTTTTTTTTAAGATTTTTTTTTTAATTTATGCATACAGAGCTGGGGTACAGTACAGGCCAGAGGTGCAGGGGTGGGGAGAGGATTCACCAGAGACAGAGTGTGGAGCAAAACAGGCAGGCTGACAAAGTACACTGCTGAGGGGAGCAGTGGGTGTGTCAGGAGAGGTCTGCCGCACCACGTGGGTCACCTCCGGGGCAGGGATTGAACTCATGCTCATCCAGGCATAATTTTAACCAGTACACTGAGAACTGCATTCATTATATCACAGGAAAGCACTAATTGCACTGCATTTCCACTTGTAAAAATATTAGAGTAGAAAAATGCATGTGTATGTTCGAAAGGCAAATGCATTTCATTTATTTTATGTGACTTCTACTTGGGCAGCATATAGGTCCACTTCACCATTGGAGTCTTGGACTTTCAGGGTTCAACTGACTCAAACAACTTCTCAAACACCAAATTCATTCTTCTTCACTTACTCCTGTGCCAACATTTACTTCTTCATTATAAATCTCCCTCCTAATCTGATCCTGGAAAATATGCTTTGTTCATCATAGATGGGACTATTGCTTCTTTTCAGAAGTCAACAAAATCTGCATATTAACCACAACTTCATTTTTTTATCAGAATTCCTCCCTTTGAATCCCTGCCATAATCACTGATGTACATGATTTATAAAAAAAAAAAAAATACCTTCACTGATATATCACTCACCCCTGAATTACAATACGTTCTCTCTTGATGACTTTGGCAATGGTACCAAAATTTTTCTGTCTACTAAAAATACATTGGTAATTCTAAAAACTAAATAATGATACTGCTACTGCTGATGGTAAAATGAAGGCAGAAGGTAAGAGGCAGAAGGGAAAATTTAATACATGTGACTGTATTTCCAGAAAAAAAATTGCCTTTTTTTTAACTGCATTTAATCCTCACCAAAAATTACTATAAAGTAAGGAATGATCATTTCACTAAAATAAGAAAGTCAGGATTTGGAGAGATTATGGAATTTGTACCAAGCCCCTGAATAAAGAAGTGAATCTGTGCTTTATCCAATTCAAAATGATCACCTTTTTTTTTTTTAAATTGAGGTAGCCTTGATTTACAAATTATATGTTTTAGGGGTTCAGATTCACACTTCCTCAAATCTGTTATCACACCACATGTTATCAGCAAAGGATCCTCTTCACCTCTTGCTCCCACCTCAAAACCCTCATCTTTATCATTAAATTATTATATTCCCTATAAAATACAGAACTATATTACTATACTATAAAATGAGAACTGCATTCAGGATGCAGCCTACACCTCCTTCTCACTCACTTTCACAGCCCAGTATGCTTCCATTCCAATGCCCATTTGATTCTTCTAGATTTTTCATCTCCCTACCCACTAGATAGATTCATAGAGATCAGGAAAGGATTTTAACTCAAGATGGTCAGCAACTTGGGCTTTCCCATCCTGGTGATAGTAACTGAGGAGAGGATCAAAAACTCTGCTGTGAATTCCACAGTTCCTGTTAGAACAGAGAGAGATGTGTATCTGTTTCCTTGCCTAAATATGTCAACAAAATAGATTTTTCTATAGCACAATGGGGACAGAAGCTGTTAGAAATCGAAAGTATTTATTTTTTGCATAGAAGAACTGGGATACAGGCCAGAGGTACAGGGGGTAAGAGGATTCACCAGAGACAGAGTGGGGAGCAGAACAGGTAGATCTACTGTTAAGGGGAAACCCTGTTAAGCGGAGTAGAGGGTGAGATAGGAAAGGTCTGCTGTGCCATATGTGTGTCAGCACTCTGGCTGGGGATGGAACTCAGGCTGCAGGGATAATAACACTAGACTTAACCCTAGGTTACAAGGGATTCCCTAGGGAAACCATGTTTCTAAATTCTGTCTTCTTCATTGTCTCTTTGTTCTGATCTTGTAAAATGCAACTATCTATCACACATGAATGCATACAGGATCAATTTTATTCACTGATATGAGGCAATCTTTGGGTAAAAATGATTGGGTTCCATTGTTACTGACTCTAGTAAAATCTATCTTTCTTGAATCGGTTACTACAGACACATACTGCGTTCCAATAAAGGTTTGACTTGTCCCAAACAGAGTAGCTAAGTAAACAGAACACAGAGAATGTGCAAAGGGTCAAATTTCAGAAGGAAAATACAATTCTTTCTGTTATAAACTAGAACTCTCAGTGGGTGTTATTTAAATTGAATTTCTGTTAATTTTAGCAAAGTTTTATAGATCTGTGTAAGTCGATACTTTAAGTTACATAATTTTACAAACGTTGCCATCAACAACAACAAAAAAATTTACATATACATAGGAAAAGTCATTTGCCAATAAATGCACTGTGCTATGCTTGTTTTCATGGCTTACTTTGTGCTTTCCTCAGTATGAAGACCTTCTGATCCTGATACTTAGAGTATTGCGCTCCTGGAATGCCCCTCTCTATCATCTAGTTACTGAAGTGCGTGGAATGAAGGAAGCCCCGGATGGGATCCTATCAAGAGCCATAGAGATTGAGGAGCAAAACAAACGACTTTTAGAGGGTATGGAGAAGATACTTGGGCAGGTAAGAGCCTCCTGAAGATTCTGTTTCTTTCTTTAATGAAAAATGAAACCTGCATGATGAGGGGTTTTGCAATATCTTGCATCACAAGAACAAAACTTAGGCATTCTATAGACCAGACTTGAGTTAAATAAACCAAGAAGTTGGGTTTGCAGGTTCTACTGCTTGTGAATCTTACGATTCTACTGTGATGCCTGATAGGTGCCGTCTTCCCAAGCATGCACACAGATCCCCAAACCATGTTCCTTCCTGGGGACAGGTGGTTGAAATGTATTCAAGAAAAAGAAAGTGGGAAAATAGAATTGAAAAGATAAATGTTTTCCCAGGGTACCCATTTTTGACATTCTGTTAAATTCTTTTCTTTCCTCTCCAACCAAGAGATGACAGTGAGAAGGGAAAAAGAGAAAACCAAAATCAAGCTGCATGTTTTGTCCCTATTTCTCACCTCCCTTCAGGGAAATAAGTTGACTGAAGCCACAACATCAATGATGCCCTGAGAGAATGGATTTCAGTGGGTTACAAAAGAAGAGGGTGAATCTTTTCTGCTGGCATTCATTATTATTTTTTTATAAAAAGTCATCTCATCCTAAATTTTATTTTGTGTGAGGTTCAAAAATCAGAACTCAGATCATTGCGTTTAATCTCCCCAAAGAATTTGTCTTATTTAGGCTGAGTGAATATTTGCAGAATATCACCACTGCTATGAGGTAATTTCAGCATAAAATCAGTAACATCTAAACAGTTTTCTGAAGTTCTTAGAAATAACATATTATCTAAAGAAAAATATATGATTATAGGAATAATAATAGGAGCAATTTTATATTTTTCTTATTGTGTACAAAGTACATGTTATCATGTGTCATTTTTGTCATTTCATCAGAGAAGAATATCTCTAACACAAATACAAAGTACATTTTGACCTTGTAACATAAGAAATAAACACCTAGATTTTCAAGTTATTTTCTTCATTACTAATGGGCCTGTATTCTGAGGGTCAATAATTTCCTTTATATTAGTTCATTTTTTTTGTTCTTTTTTTTTTAACTACTTATCCTGTTCATATCACTGTCCTCTGCACAGTAAAATCTGTCTTACAGCTCAAGCACAAATATAAAAAAGGAAAGAAAGGGAAAAAATGCATACCCCTACACACACATACACACACACTAGGGAGTGTCAGATTTTAAAATATTCTTATTTCACATGTGAAAACTAATTTAGCTCATCACAGTCTACAGTTACCCCATATTCCTTCCTAGTAGTTCTCCAAACAAGCTGACTGTTCCAAACTAGCTGAATTCCCAGCGGACAAGCTGGTTACTTATCTCCTATCTCCAGGGACCAAGCAAAAGTCAATTTTATGTGACCTGGTGTTGCTCAATGACCTGTTGTTATCATAGTCACCACCCTACCACTCACTATCAGGGATTCCTGCCAATGCTCCCTCTTCACATGGGTATTTTTCCCAGCACCTTCCATCCCAGAAGCATCCAAAGAAAGCAGCTATTCCTCATATATATATACTATGTTTTTTTATATATATATATATATATATATAATTGTTATTATTATATTAGCACATATATATTATTATATATATTATCATATATATATATATATGTAATTGGAGTGGGTGTTATGTACCCCAGGAAGATCATGAAAGTCTTCTGACTAATTGGCAGATAGTGATAATCAGAAGATTATCTGTAACTAAAAACATCAACCACAATACACACCATTTCTGAAATCTTTGGTACTTCCACTGTAGATAGAGAAGAAAGTCCAGTCAAAGCGGTGAAATGATAAATGTAATTATGGTGACCAGTCAGATGACAATACAAAATGCACATGTGGACAAGGAGAAATGGGCTAGCTCCTTCATGACTCTCAGCCACAATCATGCCTATATTCAAATACCAGTTTTGTGGTCTGCCATTTTTCTACTCCTGCACAAACACACTTTATCTGTGAGTACAAACACAAGTGAAACCTTAATTTGAGTCCTGCATCTCATTTTTTAAATCATTTTTGACACTAGTTCCATAACTCATGCCTTTGTCTAGAGCTTTATATTCATGCCTCTTCTCCTGATCATAATTGAACAATTTAAAGGGACAGAGAAAAGAAAATGCAAATCATACTAGTAACAAGTCTCTATCTGTTTGGTAATTAGGTCCGTCCTGGAGTCAGAGAAAATGAAGTCTATTCTGTCTGGTCAGGACTTCCGTCCCTGCAGATGGCCGATGAAGATGCTCGCCTCTTTGCTTTTTATAATCTGCTCCACTGCCTGCGTAGGGATTCACATAAGATTGACAATTTCCTCAAGCTCCTGAAGTGCCGAATCATCTATGACAGCAACTGCTGAACCCACACCCATTCCATCTATTTCTGAGATGGTTCTTAATGATCCATCCCATGTAAGCTTCTTCTAGCTTTATAGCTTTTTAATGCATGCTTGGGTGTAATGGTTCTCATCTTAAAAAATAAAAACTGATTCCTCAGAGATGTCAAAATCTAAAAAGGCAATCTATCAAAGTTTCTTATCTTCATTTAGTAGAAAATCAAAGGAAAATTCATCACTACCACTGAGAAGTTACTATTAAAATTTGTCACCAGTAGCAGAAGCTAGCACTACAAATAATATCATGAAGAGCTTACCCTAGAATCACAGTAAATTATTGTGGGTCACAGTACTGGAGTCCAAGAATTAGACTGGTCATGCTTCTGAGACAGTGAATGCTCAAGAATCTTTATGGAAGTTAGTCAAATCCTAACAGCTAACCTTCACAGTGTTATGACAGACATTGGAAGTATGAGCAAACCGTGATATAATATGCCTTATTTGCATGAGATGTACTGAACAGTCTGATTGTTAGGATGCCACCTTCTACTCAGCAAATTGTGACAAAAGTACCATAAATTGGGTAGCTTATAAACAATAAAAATGTATTTCTAAACTTCTGCAGGCTAGAAGTCTAAGATTAAGGTACAACATGGCCAGATATGTGTTCTCTTCCACATCAAGCAGAAGGGGCTAGGGACTCTGTGTCTCTGGAGAAAGAACACAAATTCAATCATGAGGACGCCACTGCATAACTTAATCATCACCCACAGGCTGACCATCATTTTGAGGGGGGCTGACAATATCAACCTGTGAATTTAAAGGATACACAGACATTCACAACATAGAGGATATAAAGATAAAAGATAAAGGGTTTTCTTCACTGGCCATCTTTAACCATGTTCTATTGAATTCCCACTCACTGGATACATGTCATGTTATAATCACTGTAGGTCAAAAAAAGACCTGTCCAGTCAGTTTCAAGTCCATCTCATATTCAACGTATTCAATGTTTTCCTCTCCCCATATGTAGTTCCCCATCCCTCTTCTGGATCTCCATTCCTATAGAGTAGAGGATGAGGAAAGTTAGGAAATCTGACATTACTGATCAGTTACTGCTACTGTAAGGCGTCTCATGGCCAAAAGGAAATAAACTTGAAGTCCCACTAAGTGGTAGCCTCTCTGTTGTGGAGTCCCAGGGCATTCTCAAGTAGGGCTATCTTACTATAGTTTCTTTACCAGGGAAAAGGCCCTTTCTGGATTATTCTATCTCTCCTTCAGCTCTATCATTTGCAGAGTTCTTACACCCTCTGATGCTGTTCCCTTCAACATCAGCAAGCATTCTATGGAAGAAAACTAGCCCCATGCCAGCTGATCTACAAGGAAGCCACGCTCAAACACTCTGAAAAACTGTGTAGCAATGATACCCGATTGCTTCTGACCACTTTGTGGGGCCTCTCTCTCTTTTTCTTTTTTTAAAGATTTATTTATTTATGCATACAGAACTGGGGTACAGGCCAGAGGTGCAGGGGCAGTGAGAGGATTCACCAGAGACATAGTGAGTAGCAAACAGGCCGACTGATAAAGTACACTGCTGAGGGGAGCAGTGGGCAGCTCAGGAGAGGTCTGCCTTGCCATGTGGGTCACCTCTGGGACTGGGGATTGAACTGATACTGAAGTGGCTTTAGCTTCTTAGTGTTGTGCTTTAATCCACTGTGCCACCAGGGAGGGCCCTTTGTGGGGTCTCTTAACAATAATCGTTTATTTCTTGCCCACATGGACATAAAGTGGATCAGAACTTTGGCCTCATAAGCAGAATTCACCTAAGAAGTGAGATGTGATTCAGCTCTTCTTTCAGAACCAATCAGCATTAATATCAATAATCATTTTACACAATTGTCCATACAAACATTCCCTAGAAGGTCACTGGATTACTGCTTCCTCATATGTAACTTTTTTTTTTTTTGGTCAGGCCTTCCCACCAAGGTTCTTAAGTCTTCTATTGACTGAAACTGGATAGGAATGAGAAGTTATAATACCATGTTGGGTGAAGATCTGAATTTGTATTTTTTAAATTGCTAAGCTTCTTTACTCACTTCAATTTTAAAATTAAAGTTGGCATACTGAAAAAGACTGCAATGTTATTGGTATGCTCATAAGAGAATAACAATACAATGGACCCATAATTTCTAAATTTCAATTAAATTTCTTTTTTTTTTTGTATTTGAAGAACAAATAGCTCACATCTTCTTTTTATTGCCCATTCTTCTCTCATCCCTTTCCAAAATGTTTCTTTGTGTTAGGAGTATTACTTGCCCTTATTAATACTTTTGCAATAGCTCTAGAAATGAACAGAATTTGGCACCCCCTGAAATGAGCATTCAAGGCAACTGTCTTCTTCCATGCAAAGAACACAATCCAGCAAAACTAATCCCTTCCTTCATAGCCAAGGTTATTTTTGTGTAAGTCCTGGTCATGTCTCTAGTTGTAACCTTTCAGAATATAACAAAATACTCTGCCCCAAACCAATCTATCAATCTCTCCCTTGGCTCCTGCATGCATGCAAAATGTCAACTTTTTCATATTCCAGCTTTCTTCCTTTAAAAGCCATGAGAGTATGGGAAAACCCTGTATGACTTTCTAAGTCATTTGTTGCTAAAAACATCTAATTCTATTGTGTCGCCTACTTAACTTCCTCTCCTCCATTTTCTAGGTGGTTCCAACAGAGAGGATGATATTTATCAGAGGTGAAATATGGCAATAAGTAGACAATGCAATTGTAGGAAACAGAAGTTCACTACTATCCCACCCGCATCTTCATGCATTCATCTCTCTTTATTTCAAGCACAAACTCAAGGCTTCAGATAAACAGCAGAGCTGGTGATATTAAAAGGTCTTTTCCTGCATGACCGTGACATATAAGCTGAATACTGGGATTTTCAGACACAATTGTGTAAAACCATAGGTGTTCTGTAGAGTCAACCAGGGTAGCTGGAAGGGGGGTATTTGGGAGGAATATAACAATAACTCTCTATCTCACTAGAGCAAGTCTATTTTTTCCTTTTTTTTTTTTATAATTTCCAGGTAAAACTATGTTTGAAGAAATGTCCTTGCTATATACGAATAACGATAATGGTGACCAAAAATACAGAGAAACAAACAAAACACCCTTGACATTCACTGATCTGGGATGAGTAAGTTAGATGCTATGGATACTACAGACACTGGAAAGGAATTAAGTAAAAATCTGTCTTGCAGAATTTAGGCTCTCAGGTTCTAGAAAGAGGGTTTCATAAACACACTTCTCTATATTCTATGGTAAGGAAAAGTCATAGTAATAGGTGCCATTCAATTGATGGTAGAGGAAAGAACAGCTTAAGAAACATCCATTTGTGGCTCTTCCTAGTGTCACAACAGGTTAAAATGCAGCACTATGAAGCTATCTGAAGCTACTGCAGCATGAGTTCAATCCCCAGCCAGGGAGGTGATCACATGGTGTGCCACACCTCTCCTGTCTCACCTGCTGCAGATTATTTCAGTCATTCAACTGTGCTGTTCCCCACTTTGTCTCTGCAAATCCTCTCACTACTCCCCACCCCTGCACCTCTGGCCTGTACCCTAGTTCTTGTCTGCATAAATGAATAAATTAAAAAAAAAAATCTGACCATGAAAACAAAGGATTTTGTCACAACAACATGAAATGTCTTAACAGACATCTAATATCCCACTTTATTAAGCTCCCATTTTCTGCCAAACTCTGAAATGGGGTAATAATGGGGGAAGGAACTTGCAAGGATTGCTTGTGAATTGGGCAGCATCAATTATGACAATTTCTTCTACTGCAACAGGAAGACAGAAAACTTTAGTGCAAGAGAACAGTATGTCCAGAATTAGAAAGTAGAAATCTTAATCTGGCTTGGAATGTTCTGAGGGCATATAACCAATAAAGGAAAAGAAGAGATCGACAAACATGTTGGGATATTATTTTGATATTATATGAAGATGACATGAAAGTTCAAAAGGCACCCACAAACATGAGTAAAAATGCGATGGGAAAGTCAGAAAAATGAGAGGATGAGGTAAATGTAGGTTGTGTCCACATACATCTGACTTTAATTTTTCTGTATGATGTCAACTTTATACCAGAAATCATCAAAAAATGTTAAGTTAGCAAATCACAACAACTAGTACATGTGAGAGTCTCTGTCTCAAATGCCAGAACAAGAAACCAGATTGCAAGCTGTAAGTCGCTTGTCTCTGAACACTTAAAGAACACAAACACTGTAAAGCATGGGGGATGAATACCAACCAGGGAACTCTGTCCATTTATTTACAGAGCCGGCCCTAAATAAAGCATAAATAATGGCTTCCCTTCATCTTTTGTTCACTTTCATCAAAAATTTCTCAATACTTTCTCCTGAATTCATTAATGACATAAATAATTAAAATGTGTCCACTCTAAAATAATAATCGCATTTATGGACAATTGATACTGAAAATAAAACATTAAGAGTGTAATGACTCTTCCCCGTTTTCTTTCCAAAATGTTCACGAGGCATATTCAACTCTGCTACTTAAAAATCATCTAGAATAGGCCCTCCCTGGTGGCGCAGCGGGTTAAAGCACAGCACTAAAGCCACTTCCGCATGAGTTCGATTCCCGCCTGCCCCGGAGGTGACCACATGGCGTGGCAGACCTCTCCTGACCTGCCCGCTGCTCCCCTCAGCAGTGTACTTAGTCTGCCTGTTCTGTTCCCCACTCTGTCTTTGGTGAATCCTCTCACCGCTCCTGAGCCTCTGGCCTGTACCCCAGTTCTGTATGCACAAATAAATCTTTAAAAAAAAAAAATCATCTAGAATAGGGGCCTCCCTGGTGGTGCAATGGGTTAGGGCACAGCACAGCAAACTAGTCTCAGGCGCTTCAGTGAGGGTTCAATCCCTGGCCCAGGAGGTGACAACACAGCGCATTAGATCTCCCCTTTCTGCCCACTGCTGCCCTCAGCAGTGTACTTAGTCTGCCTGTTC